TCCCAATGCTGATTTAACAATTTCGCGATTTGTACATTTTACAAAGTTATCCATAGTATCGAGTAATTGATGGAGATTTGATTGATCAAGATCAAATTTAAATTCAAAAATTAATCTCGTTAACGAGGCAATCGTAGCACTAATCATATGAGGGGTAGTTGCAGCTAGTCCAGCGACAACCATTTTGAATACGAATTCATTAATATTAGCATCTACATCTTGTTCTGTTGGATCTGTTTCTGCAACTTTGCTCATGATTATTATACCGCCTTCTTTCATCTTATTTCCCATAGCAATAAGTAGTTCGTATGCTGCATTCCTAGCTTTTTCATTGGTTTCTTTTGTACTCAATATGGCTTCAGAAAGCACATCAGGAATCATGTGAAGATCTGTTTTCGGTAATAATTTAATAATATTCATCAATACTAACAACCGATTCTTTTTCGCGGCAAGAGTAGAAACCATGACTGATTCTACCAATTTATTTTGTAAATCATCAATATTCTGTAATATCACTAATTTGCTATTATCATTCTCTACAATTGTATTTAATGCTTTGTATGCTTTTTTTTGTAATGTTGAGTCTTCATTGCAAAATAATGCAGTGATAACTTCGTATAATTGCTTAACAGAATCAATTTCCAAATATGGTATCATTATAATTGATAAATCCAACATGGTATAAGACATTGGAGGAATGGATTGTTCATTGCTTTGTTGTGGAGTATTATTTGAAAGAGATTGCTTTAATAAATTCAAAACTTTACTAAATGTTATAGAAATATCTTTAGGTGGAGTAATAGTCAGGTAAACTTTAATAACATTCAATATATATGCTCGATATGCTGTAGGTGTCTGACTAAACACATTGAAGAACACTGCCAAATAATTTTTGGCATATTTCGTCAAGAGTTGAAGGTTTTTTTCAGCTAATGTTTTATCTAAATCATATTTTTTCATTAATATACTATTATCTTCATCTGATTCCATAATAGCACGATTTTTCTTGATCAAGTTTTCAATTGCAAGAGCAATAGTCGGTCGAAGTTCAGGTTTTTGATAAATCATATTACTAAACAATTCAGCTGTGGCACTTGTGAAAGCTTGAGGTAAATCCAAAGGAAGATCACAAAATCCGGGTAAAAGTGCCCATAATTGTTGAACTAATGTCTCGTAAACTTTTGCTTCTATCATCCGACCTTGGTTCTGAAATTGTAAGGATTTTTGAGCAAGTCTCTCACTCAAAGGAACAAGTTCTTGAATAAAATAACCAAGTTCAGTATTTATAATATGATCTTTAAGTAACGGTAAAAGCCATGCACGACCATTATTTTTATTATTATCAGGGTTTTCTAAATTCAATGGTAGAATGTTCAAGAACGCCTGAGGTCCCATATTCGCGATTGCGGCACCTAAGGTTTTATCAGCCGCATCCTTTAATTCAGGATCTGAATTCATTCTTAATTCTTCTACAATATTAAGAAAATTACCCAAGAGTTTTTGTGAAGATCTTTGTAATCGTTGAAATAATGATTCCAAAATTTTTAATATACAAGGCCACGCAGTCTGATAACGAAAGTTGAAACCATTTTTAACTATTAAAATTATTTCATCCAAGAATTGTTTTTTCTCGGAATCTAATTGTCCTTCACGAAACGTTGCCTGAACAATATCATCAGTAATACCATGTGTGATAAGTTCGACAAGACAATTTGTGGCAGCAACTCGAATATCAGAATTGTTAACTTCCAGGACAGGAAATATGGCTTTAAAAAAATTATGTAAAATTCCAGCACACCTGTCCGAATCGATCTCAGAATATGTCGTAAAACCTTTGCCAACTATAGTGAGCCAATGCGGTAATAGTTGTGCATCTTGTATATTTGGCATAAGTTCGGCATGAGATTTTAATAATTCTTCAAGTCCAAACTTCTCAAATCCATTTCTGTGATATTGAAATAATTCATCAAATACTTGATATGTAGCGATAGTAATAAGTGTATCATTAAGTTTTTGTAAATTTAGTAATAATTCACATAATTGACTAAGATTTTGAACAGGCCATTTCCCAGCAATTGATTTTAAAAGAGCTAAAATATGATGTATCGATTGACGATCAGTTTTTGAATATTCATTAAGAATTCTTTGACAGTATTCAGTGGTTATACCAATCATAGGATGTTTAACCATTGGAGGGGGTGGGCAATTCAGAATTTTCCGCACAGCATCTTGAGCTCTTTTTCTTGGTTTAGGTCTTTGATCTATAGAAAGGAATAATAATGCTTGGAAGGATCTTTTTGCTAATAATTGATTCCATGTATTGCGATCTTGAGCAACTAGAAAACTTTCCGTACACCCCGTAATAGAACGAACAATTGCCGAATCATCTTTGCTGGAATCTAATTCTTGTAATAATATTGGCATAATCTGAGAAAACTTGCCAAGTAATATTGTAGGAGATATACTAGGTAATGTGATATTCAAAAGGTAAAGAATTGCTCCATGTATTTCATTTCCAGAATTTGTGGGATTATTACAATGCTCTTCAAGTGTTGTTAATAAAACAGCGAAATAAGCTGTAGGTATTAGAGGAGAATTTTGATCCCTGATCGTCTCTTCAACCGCTATCAATGTAGCAGCTATTTGTTTTTGATTATCAAGCTTAGAGTCTACTTGATTTCGAATTCTTTCAAATTGTTCTTCCATCTTGGAGATAATTCAAAAGTTAGATAACTTCGAGCCAAAAAAAAAATTTTGATAATGATAATCAATTTGGTGTAAGAGGATTTTAATTGGCCAGTTTGAGACTTTTACTGCGTACATACATTAACGTGTATTAGCGAAGTTGGATACATATCATTTCCCCGACATTAATTTATTCGAGTATGTTTAAGAATAATATTTTGTGTGCTTATTTCTAAATAGCTCTTTATATACTGTATATTATCACGCATTGCAAGACTCGCTATGAAAACTTCTAAATAAAATTTTGAAAACGTATCGGTATGCATTACCTAAATTAATGAAATGTATCGAAATTTTCGCATTACGGATCTTATTAATGAAGGACCAGACTCGAACCGAGAAAAGCCACCAACGTTTTATCGTTTATCTTTAAGAAAAGTCTTTATATTTCATATTTGACTATAATTACTGAATGAAAACTATGCCTTGGTGTATAAAATTTTATGCACTGATTATATTAGCATTGAAAAACTTTATTATAGGTAAGTAGTCTATAATTATACATGTGGCCGAAATTATTCGGCTTTTCCTAAACTAATTACGGCATAAACGGCATAAGTCGTAATAGTTTTGACACAATCCGAAATAATTTCGACCACATATATCATCAAAC